ACCCACCCACCCAACCACGCACGCACGCACGCACGCACGCACGCACGCACGCACGCACGCACGCACGCACGCACGCACGCGCGCACAAGCCCGTCACTGTAGCCCTCATGCATCCAAAACCGAGCCTGCCCCAGCGTGGGTATCACCCTTCATGTCATCTGATGCCTTCCACAAAAACACCCTGCCAGCATGCACACCACAAAACTTCACGAATGCCCCATACCTTTACTCCTCCTCCTTCTTCTCCTCCTTCTTCTCCTCCTTCTTCTCCTCCTTCTTCTCCTCCTTCTTCTCCTCCTTCTTCTCCTCCTTCTTCTCCTCCTTCTTCTCCTCCTTCGTCGACTGCCTTGCACACAACCGGCCCTACCAGCAGACACGCTAACAACACAGTCATGAACAACCATAATGATGCTTCGGTCCTCGCTGCTGTCATCGGAATCATCCTCGGATGCCTTCCGCACAAATGCCAGCATGCACACTGCAAAAACTCAAGTTTTCAAGAATATCCCATACCTTTACTCCTCCTCCTTCTTCTCTTCCTTCTTCTCCTCCTTTGTCATCGGCAGCGACCTCGGGCTGCATTGGTGGGTGTGAGGGGCTGCGCTTCGGCCTTGCAACACCGTGATCCCCGCACCCTCATGCTCGGTACCAGTACCTTGTCCATGCGGATCTTGGCAGCCTGCGCGGCTGCCTCTTGGAGCCGCCTTTGGAACAAACCGAAGCAAACCTGTATACACATGTGTATATGCGCCCATGCATGATCAAAGAAATTATTACAGGCCAAACGATCTTTTGAATGAAAAATCGCAACACGTCAAGCACGTCGAAGCGAGCCGCCTGATCACCATCAGCGCTGTAAAGAGCTTGAAGATCGCCTGCGCTGTTCCAAAACAGCAGCCGTGCGTTGCGAAAGTACGTGTGCAATTCGGAGTACGTATCGCTTCGAACGAACAGAAGCAAACGGTGCTCCGGCAAAAGGCACGTGAGCACAACCAAACTTGGTTCGGCGTTGCAAAACTCGGTGTCGCAGTAAACGTCGGTCCCGGCGGTGAGTACAGGCAAGCGGTCCGGGTCGAAACGGTCACGCATGTCGCAAACCGCCCAGTTGCGCACGTCCGGAAACAGAAACGCAGTCATGATCATCAAGAGCGCTGCAGGCGTGGGATGCTCAGCAACAAACTCGTTGAGGCCGTCGATAAGGGGCACGGGTGAGATGTGCGCTGGTATGCAAACAACACCCTCTGTGAGAGCTATGAGTACGAAGCGCTGCCCGCACTCGCTTGGGCGCGTCCCCTTGCGCCGTAGCCTGCGACGCCAGCGCGCGCACAGACGACACTACCGCCGTTTCGAAGGCAGGGTACGGAGGCACGTCGATCCAAGCACTGCCCCAAGGAAACTCCAACACCTCGTCCGCTCGAGCTTAAGTTAAGGTCGCAACGCAAATGTTTCTTGATATGCGTGCGCAAGTCGCCGAGCCGCTTGGTGAAGAGCTGGTTTCTCTCTTCGACATCAATCTTGGGTGGGGCGTCACGTGAGCCGACTGGCGGCCTCATGGCCCCATGGCAAGGCTGCCCGACAACCAAGCAAAGAGTTGAAGGGTCCCCGCCAACAACAACACCGCGAGGCCGAATGAAGGCGGTCGGCACGTGAACCGGCACCTGAGCAGCATCAAAACGCACCTCTTTGCCCGCAGGTCGAGCAGGCACGGGTGAGCTTGCAACACGATGCTGCCCGCCAGCTAGCGGCGGCTCTTCTGGTGCTACAGAATTGCCCTCGGGCGCAGGGTGACAAGAACGCTCTCGCTCGGAGCGCCGGCGACGGGCGATGTCAGCTGAAACGACCGCGGGCGGCACAGGATCAACAACCACGGGAACTGTGGACATGGCAGTCCGAACAGCATCAATGATGCGGCGCACGCAGTCGTCGACGTCAAAATCGAACGAAGGCTGAGCGTGCGCAACGGCCGCAATGTCGTACGATCTGTCCCGAATAGCCCGTTCCAAAGCGTTGCGCTGCCGGCCGTACATCTGCACAGCGGCAAAAAGCGTAGTGTTGTCAGGGCTCGTCGCAGGGTTGCCAGACCGCGTGCGCTGAAGCTCGGGGCCTGCACAACCAGCAGGCGGCTCTGGAGCCCCCGCAGCCCATCCACCTACAGCAGCAAACTCCGAACCTGAAATCGAGCCCGAGACTGAATCTCACGGGGAACGCATGCACACGACACCGGTAACGTGTTCGTCGGTGCTCGACGTGCTCGAAGAAGCGGCGCCAGCGTCGACGGTCCGCCACTCCTTCGCAGTGTCTTGGCCGCCCGTAACGCGATGCTCTGCAAGGCCGGCAGCATGCAGCCGACACAAGGCCTGATTGGCGGTTTTCTTCGTCGCGTCAGGGCCGAAAACTGCCTTCGCAATACCTACTGTAAGGTATCACAGGTGCCAGCCGTGCGCAGATGCTCCAAAACAAGCTCGTCAGCGGCGGCGACGGCACCAATGGACTGACAGGCCCGGAGCGTGCCGGTAGGCTGCGCGTCGCGAGCGGCGACCCGGCCGACCTCGTTGCGGCGAACGCACCTCACGGCAGCAGAATGGTACAATCGGCCGAAGTCGCTGCCAGACGTGCTGCTGACAAGAGCTTCATATTCGGCAAGGATTTCACTGCCTGCGCCGATTTGCAAGACCGTCGCGCCGGCGGTATCGGCAAATCGCACGCGCACGCCCAAAGTCAAGAGCAAATAGCGCGCGTCGCAAATCGCTGGGTGCGAACGAGTGAGGCCAGCAGGGCGCAGCGCAACCTCGTGCGCCTCACAAAAGAACTTGAGAAAGCCCGTGACCAAGTCGCCCTTGTCAACAACCGCTGGTGAGATGTGAGTGCACTCATCATCCCGAATCCAGCCAAAGTGCCCAGTACAATCGTACGCGAACCACCACAGGTCGCGCGGGCTGTGCGCAGCGTCAACTCCTCACCGCGTTGCACGGGCAGAAGCCCGCAAGTGCAATCCGGGTCGGGATCGCGGACTTCGCGCGCGAAATGCGCAACGTAAGCGCACGGCGGCCGCAGTTCACGACGTGGGCCAAAACCGCCCGCAGGGTGTCGGGAAAACAACGACCAGGCAGGGTGTACAACAGCGGAATGGTGTCAAACGGCCGGTCCGGCAACTGCGGCCGAGGTACGTTGCGGCGAGTGTCTGCGTGGCTGCTGTAAATACAAATAGCAGCGGTCTCAGTGGAGGCCACGTACGAATCAGCAAGCTGCACCCGGCTGCGCCGCAAACAGGCAACGGCGGGCCAGTGGGCCCCGGCAAGGGCAGCGGATGCACGGGTCGCAACCGAAGGTTCGCACAGCGTGGCAATCCACTCAACCAACCTCGCAGTCAACTCGACACACTTGCCAGCCTGGCCGGAAAACACCCTTTCAAGCGCTTGATGGTCAGTGAACAAAGTGTGGTCGTGGCCGCGGCGCCGTTCTGCAGTCGCGATAACGTAACCAAGAGTGAGAGCAAAATCTCATTCTGGTTCGTCACACTGCCGCTGATGTTCGCAATGAGAACACGGTGGCCGCCGCTGCAAGGCCACACCACGGCAGCGCGACAAGGCCCGCCGTCGCACGAAATGCCGTCAACGTCTGGCGGGCTAGGCACAAACCAGCTCCGCGCGTACACGTCCTCAGAAAACGCCACTAGCTGGTCAGGGGCCGTAACGGTAGAAAACAACCGCATCAGATCCAGAGGAGCCGGTTCCGGCCACAGTTGCACTGTGCCAGCGCGATCAGTAAACAACCGGAACAGGGTTTAGGGCTTAAGGCTTAGGGTTTCGGGTTTAGGGTTTAGGGTTTAGTTTAGGGTTGAGGGTTTTTTTCCCTCCTGCACAGCTGGGGCGAATCCGCATCGCAGGGCGACTCTGAGTTCGAGGTGGCTTCGGGGTGGTCTTGGGACATTTTGCCCAAATCCACGCTTCCAGCACACTTCCCTTCCGATCCTCTCACCAAACCACCCTCAGCACCCGCGGTTTAGGGTTTAGGGTGTAGGGTTTCGGGTTTAGGGTTTAGGGTTTAGGGTTTAGGGTTTAGGGTTTAGGGTTTAGGGTTTGCTGACTGAAGCGACGCGCCTCGACCCAAGGGGTCGTGGGCGGCGCGTCGCGCGAAAGCTAAAAACCCACCCCAAGACCACCCAAACCTTACTCTATTAGGGTTTAGGGTTTATGTCTTGGGATAGTTCGCTCGTTGCTTTGTATTCTCTCCTGCAATTGATATTTTTTAATAATACACAGCAATTTGAATATAAATCAAAAGGACAAGTAAAGCAGAGGGCAGCAGTATGTTTATATGTTGTGTCTTGACGCCCGAACAGGCCAGAACAGGCCAGGGCGCGGGTCCCAAAATCACGCTCGGGGCCGCGGCGCCATCGCTCGCTGTCGCTGCGCTCTGTGGCGCCGCTGTGTACAAGAACGTTTAGAGGCACCAAAAAAAGCCTTGAAAAGGCTTGAAAAAGCTTCAAAAAACCCTCAACAAGAGGGGGCCCCAGGATCTGCCCTGGCCCGCAATGAAAGTGCGATTTTTTAGTACTGAAATCGATGGTTTTGGGCACCCCGGGCCTCCCGGAATGTTAAATTACGAGGCCGGGCCTCCACAGGCCAGAACAGGCCAAGACGGAGGGTCCCAAAATCGCGCTCGGGGCCGCGGCACCATCGCTCGCTGTCGCTGCGCTCTGTGGCGCCGCTGAAGGCTCGGAAACTCTCCGGGAAAAAGGCTTAGAAACTGTGCGCGAGGAGCCCAAAAAGCCCAGAAACTGTCCGGGAGGAGCCGCCCGAACAGGCCAGAACGGGCCAGGACGTGGGTCCCAAAATCGCGCTCGGAGCATGGCACCATCGCTCGCTGTCGCTGCGCTCTGTGGCGCCGCTGTGCACAAGAGCGTTTAGCGGCTTCAAAAAGCTTCCGTCCGGGAGGAGCCCAAAAAGGCCCAGAAACTGTCCGGAAAAAGCCCAGAAACTGTCCGGGAAGGTGAAACTGTCCGGGAGGAGCCCAAACAGGCTCAGAAACTGTCCGGGAGGAGCCTACAGAAAATGTCCGGGAGCCCAAAAAAAGCGCAGAAACTGTCCGGGCGGAACCCAAAAAGGCGCAGAAATGGTCCGGGAGGAGCCGGGGACCCTAAATCCTAAATCCTAAATCCTAAATCCTAAACCCTAAACCCTAAACCCTAAACCCTAAATCCTAAATCCTAAATCCTAAATCCTAAATCCTAAATCCTAAATCCTAAATCCTAAATCCTAAATCCTAAATCCTAAATCCTAAATCCTAAATCCTAAATCCTAAATCCTAAATCCTAAATCCTAAATCCTAAATCCTAAATCCTAAATCCTAAATCCTAAATCCTAAATCCTAAATCCTAAATCCTAAATCTAAATCCTAAATCCTAAATCCTAAATCCTAAATCCTAAATCCTAAATCCTAAATCCTAAATCCTAAATCCTAAATCCTAAATCCTAAATCCTAAATCCTAAATCCTAAATCCTAAATCCTAAATCCTAAATCCTAAATCCTAAATCCTAAATCCTAAATCCTAAATCCTAAATCCTAAATCCTAAATCCTAAATCCTAAATCCTAAATCCTAAATCCTAAATCCTAAATCCTAAATCCTAAATCCTAAATCCTAAATCCTAAATCCTAAATCCTAAATCCTAAATCCTAAATCCTAAAACCTAAATCCTAAATCCTAAATCCTAAATCCTAAATCCTAAATCCTAAATGCTAAAAGTCTTCAAAACGCTCTCTAAAGGAGGGGGGACCCCAGCATCTGCCCTGGCCGCAATGAAAAGTGCGATTTTTTAGTGCAGAAATCGATGGTTTTGGGCACCCCTGCATTTTGCCCTAAATCCTAAATCCTAAATCCTAAATGCTAAATCCTAAATCCTAAATCCTAAATCCTAAATCCTAAATCCTAAATCCTAAATCCTAAATCCTAAATCCTAAATCCTAAATCCTAAATCTAAATCCTAAATCCTAAATCCTAAATCCTAAATCTAAATCCTAAATCCTAAATCCTAAATCCTAAATCCTAAATCCTAAATCCTAAATCCTAAATCCTAAATCCTAAATCCTAAATCCTAAATCCTAAATCCTAAATCCTAAATCCTAAATCCTAAATCCTAAATCCTAAATCCTAAATCCTAATTCCTAATTCCTAAATCCTAAATCCTAAATCCTAAATCCTAAATCCTAATTTTTAAAGGGGAAGGACGGGGGTCTAGGCTTTAGGGTAATAAAATATGCTTTAGGGCTGTACGCCCTGTTCCCTCTTTCAAAGCTGTGAGGAGTGCGTTACGGTGCCAGAAGCTAACTCTTCTGGCACTAAAGAGAGCATCTGCCTCCAACTGCTAGACTGTCGCTACTCAGTTGTCGGCTGCCGTCGCTAGAGGCTCGGCGGGCTCGCTGCGGCCCGCTGCCTTGCCGGCAGCTAATCAGGGGCCTTGCTCGCAGTTTAGGGTTTAGGGCATGGTTGTATCGAAAAGGGCTTAGCGTTTAGGGCTTGTAGGGTCTCCAAGGGGCTTTTTAAAGGCTCTATCTTTGTTGGGTTTAGGGGCTTTTGGGGGCTTTTAGAGGTCTTAGGGCTTTTTAGGGCATTGTTGTATTGAAAAGGGTTTAGGGTTTCGGGTTTAGGACTTTTGGAGCTTTCGGGGGTCTAGGGTTCTTAGGGCTTTGGGGGCTGTAGGGTCTTGGGATGTAGGGGGTTTAGGGTATTGAAAAAGGGCTTAGGGGCTTTTGAGGGCTTTGTTTCGTTGAGAAAGGGTTTAGGGCTTATGGTTTCAGACTTCTAGGGCTTTCAGGGCTTTTTTTTGCCACCCGCCTAGTTTTTGCTTGCAGTGTTTAGGGTTTAGGGTTTAGGGTTTAGGGTTTAGGGTTTAGGGTTTAGGGTTTAGGGTTTAGGGTTTAGGGTTTAGGGTTTAGGGTTTAGGGTTTAGGGGCTTCGAGGGCTTTGTGCTATTGAATTAGGGTTTAGGGTTTAGAGTCTGAGGGGGTTTGCGGGGCATTGCTTTATTGGTTTATGTTTAGGGCGGTTTTGGGGTTTAGGGGCTTCTTAGGGCTTTGTGGGTTTGTGTTATTGACTTAGGGTTTAGGGTCTAGGGTTTTTGGGAGGTCTGGGGTTTCGGGGGTTATGGAAGGTTGCAAGAGGTCTGGTTGTCGACTGCCGCTCTGAATGAAACCCTAAACCCTAAATTCCCACCCGGCCTGCTTAGGCCGTACCCACCCTTTTCTAGGGTGCCTGGACCCAGGATACTCGGCAGTGATGGACACCTGGATGGACAATGGGTGGAAAACCCTCAAAAGTGCACCACCCTGACCCCCTGGGCCCCCTTCTGGGGGCCCCCGGTCCCTGACCCGAAAATCCTGAAATGCGGGTACCCTTCCCGAGCCAAAAACACCCTTTTTCCTGCATTCTCTACCCCCGGCCCCCTGGGCCCCTGCCCCTTGCCCTGTCCTCCCCACCTTGACTCGACCTGGCTGCCTCCTCTGTTCCCCCTTACCTGCTGCCTTCACCGCAATGGTGGGAATTGAGGGCGGCACCCTAAACCCTAAAAGGCAGTGGTTTGGGTGGTGGCCTGTGAAAGCTCACAGCGGGTGGGGAGAAAGAACCCAGCACCAATGAAATTGTTGGATTACATTGACAAGAGATGCCTTCGCGTGACATGCCGCCCCCCCACACCCCCTGGGTGTGTAGGGGCGCCATTTACGCATGGCACTTACTGCCGCTGCGCGGCGAGACGCCCTAAACCCTAAACCCTAAACCCCAAACCCTAAACGGCCCCCTGTTTGGTACCTGGTAAGGAGGACGCTACAATCGAGGTCACGGGGTGCAAGCTCCCAGAGTTTCATGGTGGCTTACCCTAAACGCTAGAGGACCTAGGGTCTCCAAGCCCAGGGGTACATACAACCTTGGGGCACAGGTAGAATCTCATGAGTGTGACCCTAAAACCCTCTACACTAAAACCCGAGCCCCAACCTTAAGGCCGCTCTCCCCAGCCCAAAGTTGGTTTAGGGTTTAGAGTGTTAAGGTTTAGGGTTTGAGGTTTAGGGTTTAGGGTGTCGGGTTTGGGGCCTCTAGGGCTTAGGGCTTAGGGTTTTTGAGGTCCTTCCAGTTTCAGAATGAGGGGCGTATGTAGACCACTGCCAGGTGTCCTGCAGCCGACGCTTAAACCGTACATCCCAAAGCCGTAAGCCCCGAAAAACGCCGAGCCCAAAATGAAACAAAGCAGTAGACGAGTTGTTTCTTGTTTTGGGGTTTATGATTTGGGGTTCAGGATCTAGGGTTACTCTCTGTCTCTCTGTCTCTCTGTCTCTCTGTCTCTCTGTCTCTCTGTCTCTCTGTCTCTCTGTCTCTCTGTCTCTCTGTCTCTCTGTCTCTCTGTCTCTCTGTCTCTCTGTCTCTCTGTCTCTCTGTCTCTCTGTCTCTCTGTCTCTCTGTCTCTCTCTCTGTCTCTCTGTCTCTCTCTGTCTCTCTGTCTCTCTGTCTCTCTCTCTCTCTCTCTCTCTGTCTCTCTCTGTCTCTCTGTCTCTCTGTCTCTCTGTCTCTCTGGTCTCTCTGTCTCTCTGTCTCTCTGTCTCTCTGTCTCTCTGTCTCTCTGTCTCTCTGTCTCTCTGTCTCTCTGTCTCTCTGTCTCTCTGTCTCTCTGTCTCTCTGTCTCTCTGTCTCTCTGTCTCTCTGTCTCTCTGTCTCTCTGTCTCTCTGTCTATCTCTGTCTCTCTGTCTCTCTGTCTCTCTGTCTCTCTCGTCTCTCTGTCTCTCTGTCTCTCTGTCTCTCTGTCTCTCTGTCTCTCTGTCTCTCTGTCTCTCTGTCTCTCTGTCTCTCTGTCTCTCTGTCTCTCTGTCTCTCTGTCTCTCTGTCTCTCTGTCTCTCTGTCTCGCTGTCTCTCTGTCTCTCTGTCTCTCTGTCTCTCTGTC